TACCAGGGAGCCGCTTTCCGCCTCCTCGGCTACGGAGTAGCGGATGGGCTCGGCGCGAGCGTGCGGCAGCGACAGGAAAGCAGAGAGACAAAGCACTTGCCTTGCGATCGCCATGGCGCGGCGGCGGCGGCGGCGGCGGCGGCGGCCGGGCTACGTCTCGGGGATGTGGCGGGCGATTGTCCGCGGCAAGCGGCGAAGTGGGGGACGGGCGCCTTCCCTCTCTGGGTGAGATTCCGCGGGTGGTCCGGAACGGAGCCGGGCTGTGCCGGCAGCGGGTGATACGGGGCAGCGCTCGGCGGCGCAGCCGCTGTTATCTCCACCCGACTCGGCTGGGCTGGTCCGGGCTGCACTGAGCTGAGCTTTTGAGAGCTGTGGCGGGTTGTGCTGGGCTGGGTTTTGCTGGGCTGGGCTGGGTTTAGCTGGGCTGGGCTGCTCCGGGCTCGGCCGCCTCCGCTGCCGCAGCCGCTCGGCGCCGCCTTGGCCGACGGCACCACCCAGCGGTGCGCGCTGGGACTGCACCCGCCGCCGCCCGCAGCCCGCGCTGCCGCTCGCCCCGGCCCACGGACCCGCGCACACAGGCGGGGGCTCCTGTGACAGGACTCAGTTACATCCTTTGGCAAAAGAAATGCTAGGGACGATAGGTGGTGGCCATGGTGTAGTCCTGGCACAGCAGCATCGCCTGCAGCTGCTCCGCGTCCGTCCTCTCCCATTGCTGAGTCAATCCCGCGCTCTTGGGTTCTCTCCTCTGCGATAGGCGAGTCGGGGCTCTTCGAGAAACGCGGTGGCACGAATGTCAGGATGTATTTCGCACGGCAGCGTGAGGTAGAGGCTGAACTCGGAGGGCTGAGGCGCTTTCCCTGGCAGGAGAAACAAGCCAGGAGCCTACGCAGGGAGAGTACCCCTAAAGCAGCAGGGAATGGCACTACAGCTACTTGGGAATCTCATCTGAGGACGGGGAAGGGAAGTGCATCCCAGTACGATTAAGGCATGGACATGCATGCCTGCTGGCCAGTCTTGCGTCTAAAAGTGAGGAGTGGGTGTGCTCCCCTCCTGGGCTTCCTTATCGCAGGCCGGCTGCGGGTAGCGTAGCGGCTCCTCGTCCTTGTCCAGCCCCTCCTCAGCATTGCTATGAGGGCTTGGCAAGATTGGCCTCACGAACTGGAATTCACTCCTGCCTGAACCGCTGGTCAGACACATTTCGTAGCGGTAAGCTGGCGACAGAGTGCCCGTGCTGCCCACGCCGTTGCTGGCGAATTCTCCATCGGCATAGCAGATGGGAGAGGGAGGAGGAAGTTCTGCCCGGACGCGAGCTTTGCAGAGCGTGCTCACTGTCAAGACGAGGACGGATAAGAGGAAAAGGGACGAGACGCAGCACAGGGAGGCGATGAGGTAAGTCGTGAGCATTTCCTCGTCGGCCACCTGCGGCTGCTGTCCGCTTGCAGGATCGTGGCCAAGCTGATGGAAGGCATCGGAGAAATCGTCCACCAGTGCCACGGCGAGGGTGGCAGTGGCAGAGCGCGGCGGCTGCCCGCGGTCCCGAACCAGCACGATGAGCCTCTGCCGGGCCGCGTCCCTCTCTGTCACTGCCCGCGCCGTGCGCACCTCGCCGCTGTGCAGCCCCACGCGGAACAGCCCCGGCTCCGTGGCCTTGGCCAGCTCGTATGACAGCCACGCGTTCTGCCCCGAGTCGGCGTCCACCGCCACCACCTTGGCCACCAGGTATCCGGAGGGTGCCCAGCGCGGTACCAGCTCTCCGGCCGCGCTGCTGTCGGCGGGCGGGTGCAGCAGCACGGGCGCGTTATCGTTCTCGTCCCGCACGACCACGCGTAGCACGGCCTGGGCGCTGAGCGGCGGGGAGCCGCCGTCGGCTGCGCGCACTGTCACCTCCAAAGCAGCGACCTTCTCGTAGTCCAGTGGGCGCAAACTCCGGACGATTCCACTCTCTGCGTCCACGGACACGAATGATGCCGCGGCGAGGGAGCCTGTCGGTGGCGGCACTAGCGCGTATTTCACTCGGGCGTTTTCTCCCGCGTCAGGGTCCGTGGCACTGAGGCGGCCCAGGATCCTCCCTGCAGGCTCGTTTTCGCTCATCACCATGGTGTAAATGGGCTGGGTGAAGGTGGGTGCGTTGTCGTTCACATCCAAGAGCCGCACGAGCAGGGTCTTGGATGTTGAGAGGGCGGGGGTGCCCTCGTCGCGAGCTCGCACCGTCACGTTGTATTCCTCCACCTGCTCCCGGTCCAGCGTCTCTGATGTCACCAGCGCGTACGAGTCGGCTGCCAGCAACGTGATCCTGAAGGGTTGCTCCCCTGTCAGCTCGCAGGTCGTCCTGCCATTGTCCCCCGAGTCCCGGTCCCTCACGTTGAAGAGGGCCACCACGGTGTTGGGCGGGGCGGCTTCGGAGAGGGTGCTGGTGAGCGAGGTGATGATCACCTCGGGGTCATTATCGTTCACGTCCTTCACCTGCACCTCCACCTTGCAATGCGTGGAGAGGCCCCCTCCATCTGTGGCTTGGACGTCTATCTCATAGGTCGGTTTTTCTTCATAATCCAAAGGCTTTTTGAGTCGAATCTGGCCTGTCTCTGGGTTTATTTTAAACGTTTTGAGATTATCCTCTGAATTTCGAAATATGGAGTACACTATTTCCCCATTCGTCCCTGCGTCTAAATCGCTAGCAGACACTACCACCACTATGGTATCCTGGGAGCTATTTTCCTTTACAGAGACTCTATACAGAGTCTGGGTAAATATCGGGATGTTGTCGTTTACATCCAAGACTATCACGCGGATTAAAGCTGTGCCAGACTGCGGTGGAGTTCCACCATCCACAGCCGTGATGCTAAAAGCAACTTCTGCCTGCTGCTCCCGGTCCAGGGCGCGATCCAACACCAGCTCGGCGTACCTCCCGCCGTCATTCCGCCGCTGGGTGTACACATGGAAATACTCGTTCGAGCTGATACTATAATGCTGAAGACTATTGTTGCCCACGTCTGGATCGTCAGCGCTTTCTAACAAAAACCGAGTCCCCGGCATTGCAGATTCCGGCATCTTTAAAATTATCTCTTTATTTAGGAACACAGGAGCGTGATCATTTATGTCGGTGAGTCTTACCTCGGCTCGGAAGGACTGCAATGGGCTCTCCAGCAGCACCTCAAAACGCACCAAGCAGGGCTCGCTCTGTCCACACAGCTCCTCCCGGTCCATTTGCTCCCTCACCACCAAATCCCCGGTGTGCTGGTTCAGCTGTAAATACTGCTTTTCTCCTTCAGGAACGACTCGAGCCTGACGAACCAATAATTCCTCACCGGTTAACCCCAAATCCTTAGCGATATTCGCCACAAAAGAGCCTCTCTCCGCCTCTTCGGGCACGGAGTACCGAGCGGTTTCTGCTCTCATCCCCGAGACGCAGAGGACAAGGATCAGAGTCACCGCTCGCTCCGGGAGCGGTTCCTCGCTCTTCCTCAGCTTCATTCTCTTCCAGAGACCCGATCTCCTCTCCTGTAAGCTGGATGGAGCTGCCGATACAGCCTGCCGACCCCCGAACGGAGCAGCCCGGGATGGTGCAGCCCCGCCCGCCCGAATCTCGGGGGCGGCAGAACTGGGAGCTGCGCGGAGCTTCCGCGGTCAGCAGCGGCACCAGGCGGCCGCTCTGTAGAAGGATTCGCAGATTTCCCAGCCCAAAGCCTGGAAAGCAGAGATTAACCCCTCGATTTCTCTTTACCGAGGTCAAAGCATAGAGATTTAACGGTCCATACAACCGTATTCAAAGTATGGCCACTGGCTGAATGAGCAATGCCTCTTCAGTTGGTCTTCTGCTTCAAAATGGAATTTATTTAAAGCTGAATTCTTCCTTTTGTTTTGGTACCCCCTCCCTTCCCCCCAGTGTGAACGCTTTGAATAAATTATTTCCAGATGTTCAGCTAAAACAGCTGTGTATGGTTCCAGGGCCCCAGCCATCAGGTGAGGTGATTTTTTAAGCACTGCAGCTAGAGTCATCCTCGGAATGGACCGAGATTGTCCCCGCAGTTCACGACCTCTCCTGCCGGGAGCCTTTGGGAATGGGCTGGAGGCAGCACCTCTGACCTCAGCTCCACTCAGATAAAACCCCCTCCGCCTTGCTCCGACTCCTGAGACCGTCCTATTTCCCAGGTCGTTCTGATTTCCTCTGCATAAATTCCACTCCAGATGCACGGATTTATTCCCGAAATCCTGCTCTTGGGTTGGGTATTTCCTCGGCGATGACTGTGGCAAGTGATCTCGAGACAGCACACTCACCCGAGGGAGTTCCAAGTAGATTTTATTGTTTTCTGTCATCACTCATTTAACCCTTTAAAATGGTTCAAGGACAGGAATTATCACATTACTTTATAGATTAATACTGACTGACGAAAGAAAGAGAAAATAGCTTATTGACACCCTATATTCTACTGTGTCCTAAGTTAATTGTAAATGGTTTTGTCTATTTTACTGAAAAACCACAAACAATACTTTTAATTATCTTAATTTTTAAAAATCGTGAAATGATAATTTCAACTTCATGGAAAAAACGAAAGGAAGGAAGAAAGAATACATTGCTCAAAGCCCACTCTTTACAATTAGGAGAGCCTGTAAAATCCTGGTCAAATATGCCAAATATGCCAATGCCAGCAGTTCAAAATAAGCTTCTGCTTATTTTTAAAAAAATTCCTTTCCAAGCACCACTTAATTCTGCATAATATCTATTTCTCCTGGTATTGAATACACGACAGAAAATTAAGATATTATTACAAAGCTCTCTCCATAAAAAGAAACAAACAAAGCACAAAAGGAAACCCCCCAGAGAAGGCGGTGTAACAAGAAGTCAAAGATCTGATGCCAGTTTTCAGTATTTCTCAAAGTATGTAGAAGCAGTAGCACTCTCACGATCAGATATTATTATGTAATCAACATGCAGCACTGTTCTCCTCATCATCACAATTACAAAATTCCTACATGAATAAAGTACTGCTCAAGGGGAAAGTGCTTTCACAGAGAAGGCCTCATCTCTCTCATTCTCTTTTAGGAAGGTGTTTGGTTTCTTTGTTCACTTTTCCCTGTGAGGACAAACTTGTCTTTTTCTTCACTTATTGATGGGCGAGCCAAGGGTTTTGCTCAGAGCTGACATTTAGCTCCAGCTCCCTGTTTGCAGGGCAAACTGCATCTGCAGCTCTAGGCCCCACATCTTCAGAGAGGGGAGCACTGCCCTGCAAAGAACAGAGAGAGTGGTTGTCATTTGGTGTGGAAGGAAAGCAGAAGTCACCGAGAAGTTTAGAGGATATTTTACACCACTGCCTGTGTCACACCACTCCTCTCTACCAAGAGCCAAAGACAAGGCAAGACTTGATGGGGTCTCTAACCCGAATAGAGAACACCTAAAGTCAGAAATTATCCTCCAAAAAGGTACTATATGTGTCTGAATAAAACTTCTATAAGTTTTGAGTAATTCAAAATTACAAGAGCCTCAAGCAGAAACCACTTTCTCACAAACTGTAAATGTGGTTTAAAGTTGTTATATCAAGAACGGTCCTTTTCTTCCCTGAGGCTACTGTGATTCTGAAAACCCATTGAGTCCAAGTCATGAGTGTTAATGAAACACGAAAATATTAACTGACCCTGATGATATTTGTATTTCTTCAATCTCTTCTATGTTCATCATCCAGTCTACTGTCAAGTGCTAGATAGATCCTTTAAAAACTCTCCATGGACTCCCCTTAGAATCCCATATTAAGAGGTGGCTGACTCTGATAACCACACTTTTCCGGCCAACACTATCCATGCAAGTCACAAAAATATGAGGGAATTTAATGGCAGAGGTTCCCAGCTCCGTAGCCTCCAGCAGCTTGTGAGACAGCTTGAGTTCAGCGCTGCCACCACCCTGGTGAAGGGCACCAGCTCCCAACAGCAGTGCAGGGGACATCGTTAGTGACACCCCTTTGCACAGTTGTCCCCACAGTCCCATCTGACTCTGGACAGGCCACCGTATTCCCATATTGCAACCTCCGGGAGGACGTATCTCTAGGAATAGTGCAATTCCTGCTCCAGGTCCCTACGGGCTCCACACAGTGCGTGGGCAGGACCCACAATGGGGACACATCTCTACCCGTGCTTTTCACTTTCTCATGGCCCAACTCCTTTCCTTTCAAGTGACATCAAAGTCTTGATCTAACACGAATACTCAGCATAGATACTGGTGCATTTGCCCAGAGAGGTGGTGGCTGCCCCATCCCTGGAAATATCTAAGATCAGGTTGGATGAGCAACCTGATCTAGTTGAAGGTATCTGTGAGCTCTGCATGAGGGTTTGGACTTAAGAGCTTTTAAAGGTCCATTTCAACCCAAAATTTTCTATCCTGTGCTGCAGAGAGGCGTGGTAAGTGAGCATTTGTGGAGCAGCTGAGCCCTGCAGCGGCTCTGAGACTGCCCCTACCATCTCCTCCCACCCCAAGGACTCCTCCACTAGCAGTTCTGCAGCTTCCACAGTCCTTGCTGCCCGGGCATGCCACATTTCCTCCCTGCCCTCCCGGTCGCCTCAGCCCTGTCATTCCCTCACCTGTGCAGTCCAGCCACCTTCGCCCCCGAGGGTGGCTGCGTCCTGCGAGCACACCGAGATCCGCTGCTCGCCGGTACCGGGGGGCAGCCCGGCGGGGAAGCAGGGGAAGAGGGGCCTGAGGAAGCGGAACTCGCTGTTGACGGTGCCGGCGGCGAAGCAGACATCGTACACGTAGCTGCGGGGCAGGGAGCCCGCGTTGCTCTCCGTGGCACTCGTCGGGAACGTGGGCAAAGTCTCCGTCTCGTTCCGCCTGGCCCGCCGCACCTTCACTACCACGACGGCCACCGCGGTGGCGAGGAACAGCGCCGACACGCACACGAGGGAGGCGATCAGGTAAAGAGTGAGCTGCTCGTCGGGCTCGGCAGCCGGTACCTCCTCGCTCACCCGTAAATGGGCTTCGGAGAAGCCGTCCACCAGTGCCACGGCGAGGGTGGCAGTGGCAGAGCGCGGCGGCTGCCCGCGGTCTCGCACCAGCACGATGAGCCTCTGCCGGGCCGCGTCCCTCTCTGTCACTGCCCGCGCCGTGCGCACCTCGCCGCTGTGCAGCCCCACGCGGAACAGCCCCGGCTCCGTGGCCTTGGCCAGCTCGTATGACAGCCACGCGTTCTGCCCCGAGTCGGCGTCCACCGCCACCATCTTGGCCACCAGGTATCCGGAGGGTGCCCAGCGCGGTACCAGCTCTCCGGCCGCGCTGCTGTCGGCGGGCGGGTGCAGCAGCACGGGCGCGTTATCGTTCTCGTCCCGCACGACCACGCGTAGCACGGCCTGGGCGCTGAGCGGCGGGGAGCCGCCGTCGGCTGCGCGCACTGTCACCTCCAAGGCGCTCACCTTCTCGTAGTCCAGCGGGCGGAGGATATAAACATCCCCGTTTTCAGCGTTGACTGATATTTCGGGCTGCTCTTTGCCCTCCTGCCGCACCAGTGCGTAGTTCACACGGGCGTTTTTTCCTGTGTCGGCGTCCGTGGCACTGACGCCGCCAATCCGGAGCATGGGGCTGTTGTTCTCCGTGACAGACATGGTGTAGACCTCCTGGGTGAACTCCGGGGGGTTGTCGTTTACATCCGATATCTGCACGAAGATGCTTTCCTGAGAGCTCAGGCGCTTCGTGCCCCAGTCCGTGGCTGTGATGGTGATGTTATACTCCGCCGTCCTCTCCCTGTCCAGAGCCGCGCTTGTTCTCAGTTCGTAGTAATTATCAAAAGTGGGGGTGAGACTGAACGGCAGGTCCCCGTCGATGGAACACTCCGTCCTGCCGTTGTCGCCAGAGTCCCGGTCCCGTACGCTGAACAGAGCCACCACGGTGCGCGGCGGGGCGTCCTCGGGAATGGAGGCGGTGAGGGAGGTGAGCGCTATCTCCGGGGCGTTGTCATTCACGTCCAGGACCTCCACCTGCACTTTGCAATGTCCAGACAGCTCTCCGCCGTCCGTGGCTTTCACCACCATTTTGTGGGATTTTGCTTCCTCAAAATCCAGCTTGCCCGCGACTCGTATTTCACCGGTGGTCGGGTTCAGCTGGAAGAGCTGCCGGGATCTCTCCGATGTCTGGGTGAAGGTATAACGCACTTTCCCGTTGGACCCTTCATCGGGATCCGCGGCAGAGACTTTGACCACCAGCTGCTCCAGGGGGCTGTTCTCAGCCAGGCGCACCTCGTAGGTCTCCCTTTCGAAGACCGGGATGTTGTCATTGGCATCCAGTACCACGATGCGGATCTGAGCCGTCCCCGACCTGGGTGGTGACCCCCCGTCGGTGGCGGTCAGAAGTAAATTCAACTCTCCCTGCTCTTCACGATCGAGCTGGCGCTGTAGGACAAGTTCCAGGTATTTTACTCCATCTTTTGCTGTTCCCATAGCGAGGGAGAAATGAGGATTGGGCCCGAGGCTGTAGTTCTGCAAACCATTAATGC